CTCTTGAATTTACTTTTCTATTAATAGCAACAAAGTAGCTTTCACATTAATTATAATAGGAATTAATGGTTAACTCCAAGATTTTTCATCCTTAGCAAAGACTTTGTAATTAATAATGTCCTCTTGTATAGAGAGGAAATTAACACAATTTCAAATCTGACATATCCAGCTAGAGTTAAGGGTAAAGAGTCTTAAAAATTCCCCTTTGGCTAAAAAAAAGCAACTGAGGGGAAAAATCCACAAAATAAGTTATCATTGATGAGAAAGAAAATCACTTTAAGAGTATGCTAAAAAAAATTCTGCTTAAATATTATTTTGAAATGTTCTATGAGAAGACATAGTGGTCTTTTTACAAACTGGAGGAGCTATGCCAAAGGCAAGAAGTAAAATTCAAGACCGTATTAGATTATTAATATTTGAGTCTGTGGCCATACCACCCCAAATGCGCCCCATCTCGTCTGATCATTAATATGCGGGAAGGACACGTATAACACAGAGCTCCACAGGAAATACTGCCTAAGGGATAACGGAAATTTTGAAAAGAAACTAAAACTGCCTCAACGAGGCCTCTGGGCAGCCAGCTAGGCTGGGGTACTCAAGTTTTTCCCTGTAACACCACAGCACATCAGCTCTGGACTCACATCCATGCCTCACAAATTATCAGCTGCCACTGCCACAGCCCTCCAGAGCACCAGGAATAGTTTGGACCATAACCATTCAACCTACAAGTATCCAGAGTCTACTCTAAGAACCATTACAGCTCCTCAAACAAGCCAATATAGAATGGAAAAATTAGGAATCAGGAAAGCCCACGTGGACCTCCCACTTGGTAAACCTCAGGGGTCACTTCCTCAGGTGCTGGTCCTGTGTGTACTCTTCTTTTCAGCCTGTGTTTCTCCTTAGAACTGTCATCAATTAGTAGTTTTTTTTTTCTGTTCTACACTAGCTACGGAATAGAAAAGTTTCTATTTCCTTTCACAAACATTCTAAGAATAAGTTGACAGGCCTTTAGTTCGGAGACTTTATTGCTAATGAAAAAGGAAACCAGCAAAACTTGGAAATCAACATATATCTCAGAAATCTTATGAGGCTTCTCAAAGCAATTTCCCTTAGTCAGTTCGTGACTTTGCTTCTTAGGTGTTAATGTGAGAGGTCTGTCTTGATTCATTCTAACAATCCCTTATATTCTTCTGCTGGGATCCAGTTCCATCTTGGTTAAATATCAGATATTGTTACTCAAACTACAGCCCGTGGGATCACTGAGCTGGTATCATTGCTGAGTTTGCTGAAATTCTTAGCTCACTCCAGAAATTGCTCTCTGTTTTCTCTAAGACCACACTTAACCCATTCCTACTCTTCCCCCTTTTCTTTCTCATTCTCTCTTAAGAATTCTCAAATTTTTTATGTAGATGTTAAGACTTAACAGAGAACGCTTTCCATGTCTTAAACATGCTAAGCAGAGATGTGGATATGCTGCGAGTTGTGAATTAATTATTGTTTTCCTAACGATTTCCCCCCAATATTTCTTTCCTTTTCCTTAAGACTACTACTAACCAATGCTGCCCCAACTCTAAATATCACCCCATGTTCATTCCATATTTTGTTTCAAGGTTAAAAGACAACTCTCTCCATACATAAAACATGAAAGAGACTGTCACAGAAGCAGTGAATTACCTATGTAAAGGTATATAAGTTTCTGCTTCATTTTCTTTCTTTCAGTATTTTCTAAACAAATACGTACACAGTTAGACACAATAATTCACCATAGTCAATAAGGCTTAGTATTCTAATGAGCACATAAAAACTAGGAACTAAGGGGAAAAAAATGAATGTTGCCAAAAGTAACTCTGGCTTGACAGTCTATTTAACTACTAACAATAAGATCTATGTACCACGTGGGGTTGCTATAACAGGTCTTTAAAAATATATTACAAAAGTTATATATGTGGAAATAAAATTTCAGACAGAATAGAAGAGTATAAAATACGAAACATGTATATAAAACAAAGGTTTTCCTTCCTTCCTTCTTCACTTCTCAGAGCTAATCATGTTTGACAGAGTCTGTTGTTACATCTTCAAGTATCTCTAAATTTGCTGATATCTTCAGTATAAATAAACAGAATTTGATTATAACACTGCTGACTATTAAGAATTCATGTGGTGTTTGAATGAATTAGAATCATTAATTCCTCAAAAAATGTTATAAAAGCGATTCTGTACTGATGTACTATTACGATTCTAGAGGTTTTAAAAAACTAACAAGACACCTTTTGTTAAAAACTAAGAAATTTCTTGCCTCAAATTCATCACCTTTACCTAGTACAGATTAAGAATAAAAAGATAATTTATCTTCCTTGCTAATTCTCTGTAATCCAATTACTTGATTTCCATGCTGTGCATTTTCTTAAACATCTCTGCTATATGGGTAAAGAATAACTAATCTACTATCCCTTAGGAATTCCTAATCAGTTTTCTCCATTTTTACTTTAAAGCTGTCAGCTGAATTTGGGGCTCTCTTTCTAAGCTTCATTTTAGTGTTTTATTTTGAATAGTATCTAAAATCTCTGGATTTTATTAAATAAAATCTGTGATGTTGATAATTCCTTGTGTAGAGTGAAATAATGACATGGTATAAGGATTGGAGTCAGGCTGACCTAGGCTGGAACTGAGTTTTTTCTAACTTAGGTAATTTATCTCACTACCCTAAGCCTCAGTTTTCCTTCCTGCAAAACTGGAAAAACCCCTTTCTGTATTGTTACATGGATTCAATAATATATGCTTGTTACAAGGATTCAATAATATATGTAAAGCACTTAGCACCATTCCAAACTTAGTAAGTGTTTGCTAAATGGTTAACTATATGACTATTATTATAGCACGTACACTCAGCTTTCCCCATTGTAATACCAGGTAGCCACTTTTCTACTACACATCTTTTATTAATGTATCAAGCAATTTTGATCATTTCATTTTCAACAAGTAGACCAGAACAGTGGTGCTGAGGTCACTTGTCACAGTCATAATTGTATAATGAAACCAAGAGATATTTGGTATTTGCCTGTTCAGGGAGGGCTGAGAAGTATAGATATTGTAAAATCATTTTTCTGTTATATAGAGCACTATATGGAATGCATTATGAAGTCTCTGCCTGAGTATAAATAACATCTTAAGTCCAGAAGACAGGCTAACTTAACCAATGGTCCATTAAATTAATATACATTTCTAAAAAGATTATAATTTAATGTAGACTTTCTTATTTCAAATAATCATATAAATCAACACTCCTGGCTAAGCAGATAAAGTGATCTAAGTATTTTAAAAACTGATTTGAAATTAAGCCTTTCTCTCAGTTGGAATATATATTTTATCAGCCATATGATGCAATGCCTCAAGTACTCAACCACACTTAAAAAAAAGCATACTTCTTCTTGGTTCTCATTCAGATATTAATATCAAACTTTAAACAGAAGTACACATAACAAAAACTACATTCTAGACAGCACCATAATATTATGCAAGGCTCACTAAATGGAGGTTTTCACTACATACATACAAAGTTTTGGGGCTTTGTTTTGTTTTTGTTTTTTGTTTTTGTTTTTTTTTTTAGTGGACACACTCCTTCAGAAGGAAGCCTTGCCATTTAATCACTTCATGATCTAATTAATGTAGGTTGTTTACTTTGTATCATTTCATCATCTGTAGGCCAGGAATCAAAGAGTTACTTCTCTCTCCTGGATTTAGGGTAAATGAATTCTATAAAGTTATTATTTATAATAGTCAAGCATTTCTATAACATAATTTCAATAAGTAATATTAAAACACATGTAACATTAAGATGCATGATTTCACCCAGAGACTAAAGTATGAAGTAAATGAGCAAACAAAATGCTGTTATTAAAGGAAAATTCTTATCAAAACAAGCTATTACAACATATTCCTAAGGAACAAAA